TATTGGGAAGTGAGGAATTTATATTCTTATATTTGAAGTCGGTAAATCGCTATTTTATCTTCTCAAATCAGATTTCGGTAAGTCGAATGATGTTTCGATTTCACGCATACTAACGGCATGCTCTTGATGAATATAATATGCACATTATCGGTGTAATATCTCCTACAAATCTCTCATTTATCATTCTTTTCTGAGGTTATATTATATATATGATTATATTAGATTTCTTAATTTTAATTTAGACAAAAATAAATTATTTTAATTTTAAAAGTTTTTTTTTTCCAAAGTGACTTCATCTCAATCATATATTTGTTGATGTTGATTTCTCATTAAAAAATGAACAAATTAAAATTGATCTAAAATATTTATTTCAACGATGATATGAATATAATTTTAAGCTGTAAATTTTTGTCGATTTTTGCATATTTAAGGTTATAATGATATTATTTGAAATTTGAAATATTAATTTAATATAGAATAAATTTCAAGAGTATAAATGAAATAAAAATTAGAGAAAACGCTATTAATCAGAAAATGTAAATTTATTTAGCCCCCTTTTGGCACCCATTTTTTTCTCATTCTCATTCTCATTATTTTTCTCTTTTTTCATCTCAACCACACATTCTATCAATAAAATAATATTACACACAAATCTAAAAATTCTCCTTACTTTTTAACCACACATTCTTCCAACAATCATTATTTAAAAATACATTTTTCTACAAAAATGGGTGTCAAACACTCCCTTAATAAATTTCGGATTACGTCACTTTGTCAGAAAGATTTAGACAGAAGTGGTGATAAAAGTGTAGGCAACAACAGATTGGATGAAAAGGCTGAATATTTTTTAAACAATTATATCAATTTTTCTATCACTGTAAATTGTCGAGTAAACAACGTGGAAAAGTTGTGCTTGTAATGGCTGTTGCTGATGCTATCTTATCGTACATAAACGGTAGAATACGTATCTGTGCCAAGCCCAGTCCACATTTGTCTACAAATTGCATTCTATTTGTCTTGATCTTTATTGTATAAACCCTACAAGTACTTGCCCATACTGCCATGTGAGACGAAGATTCTCATTGCCATTCCCACTAGAGAAATACCACTGATAAATTAAAAGGTGAGGTTCA